TTATCATCGTTGCCCTTAATTTGATCACTCCTCTGATCAATGTCCCTATATTAAGTGTCGAACCTGTTAAAAGAAAGGACATGACAAATTGTCCTACCATGTTCTGTCGCTACTGTAAAAAGACTGGGCATCTTATTGATTGATACCCTACTCATCCTCTTAAGTCTGATTAGGGAAGATCGATAAGGCCTAGTTCTTTTTCCAAGCCTGCATTATGTACCAGTGCTGTTGATTCTACCTTGGAATCTTCCATTGCAAATCTTGAGGCTCTACTTCGTAAGTTTATCCCTGATACTTCTAGTCCACCTGTTGCCTTAGCCACCCCCTTAGGTACTTCATGGTTCTTTAACTCTGCTTGTTGCAACTATATGACTGGTCAGGAAAGTTTTTTTTTTCCTTCTACGTCAAAAAATACTACTACTCATCCTATACATACTGCTGACAACTCTCAAATGCCTATTAGTCATATTGGTATTGTTTCTTTGCCCTCCTTATCCATTCACGAGACTTACTTCGTCCCTGCTATTAGTTTTAATCTTCTTTCTGTTAGACAACTTGTTGATATGGGTTATAATGTCTTATTTACCAAAAGTGATTGTGTTGTGATGGATTCTCAGACAAGACAGGTCATCGAGAGTGGGCGTAAGGTCGGTAGTATGTTTAAGCTCAACTCACTGCATTTTCATAAAGTCACTTCTCCCAAATTGTGTGCTGCTACTACATCCTCGCCCCTCGATTTATGGCATTGCCATCTTGCTCATCCTTCCTTAAATAAACTTCGTCCTTTAATTTCTAGTGGTCTCTTAGGTCGAGTTCAGAATGAGTTTTTACATTGTATTTCATGTCAAACTGCCAAACAACCTGCTTTATCATTTAATAAAAATGATTCTATTGCTCATTCCATTTTTGATTTGGCTCATTCAAACAATTGGGCCTCGTGCCTACTCCTTCTATGGGAAGATCTCGATACTTTGTGATTTTTATTGATGATCATTCATGCTATACTAAGATATATCTTATGAAAAACCTATTTGAATGACCTAATATTTATATTAAATTTGCTACCGAACTCACTTCTAAAAAATTATTAAAGTCTTTCGCCGTGATAATACTTTAGAATATCAAGATTCTAAACTGCTTAAATTTCTTGATGATCAGGGAAACATCTCTCAGTAATCTTATCCTTATATCTCTTAGCAAAACGGTAGGGTTGAACGTAAACACTACCATATCCTTGATTCTGTTAGGGCCTTACTTATTTCCTCTTCCTGTCTTGAATGTTTCTGGGGTGAAGTAGTATTGACTGTTGTTTACTGCATTAATAGAGTTCCTACACCAGTTATTGGTAACGTCTCTCCTTTTGAGCGTCTTCATGGTACACCTCCTAACTATAGTCTTTTAAAAGTCTTTGCTTATGTCTGTTTTGTTCTTCTTCCATCTCATGAGATCACCAAATCACAAGCTCCTGCTTATGCTTGTTGCTTCCTTGGTTATGATCCAGAATATAAGGGTTATTGCTGTTGGGACCCTATCTCTCATTGCATTCGAATCTCCCATCATATTGTCTTTTGGGAACATGTAAAATTTTTATCTTTAATTGACCTTTCCTCCCTTTATCCTCCTTCACCTTCTATTTTTATAAATACTTCTGTTAATTTTTTTTCTAATGATTTAGATACTTCTATTGATCTTTTTCCTGGTAACTCAGGTCCATACTCACCGAGCTTATTCACACGCTCGATATAACACCCACTCCAGATGAGCCCACTGTCTTTAATCCTCACGCACAGCTCATGTTTACAGAGCCCATATCGTCTGACATAATCCGGCCTATACATGTAAGACACCCCCTTCCTACCTTAATGATTACCATTGTCTTTCCACCATCCTCTAGTTTCAAGAACCCCAATCCTATAAATAAGCCTCTCGTGATCCTCTTTGGCAACAAGCTATGAATGAAAAATTGCAGGCATTAGAGAAAATGCACACTTGGGATCTTGTTGATCTTCTTCCTGGTAAGACTCTGGTTGGGTACACATGGGTATAAGAGAATAAGACTTACTTAGATGGGCTCTCAAGAACGAAAGGCTCATTTAGTGGCCTAGGGATTCACTCGGGAGGATGGTGTAGACTATGAGGAGACTTTTGCTCCTGTTGCTCAAATTTCTTCTGTTCGCAGCCTTCCGACTATTGCTGTTGTTAAGCATTGGACTCTCCATCAGATGGATGTTAAGAATGCCTTCTTGGATGGTGATTTAGAGGAAGCCCCCTCCTACGTATCTTCATCCATGAGATAAAGTTTGTCATCTTCGTCGAGCCCTTTATGGACTTAAACAGGCCCCTCGAGCTTGGTTTGCTAAGTTTAATAGTACAATAAACCATCTTGGCTTCACTTCTAGCCCTCATGACTCTGCCTTACTTGTTCACAGTATTAACCAAGGTATTGTTCTGCTTCTCTTATATGTTGATGATATGAATATGACAGGTAGTGATCTAGTGAGGAGTTCATGAGCTTAAAACTTACTTAGGAGGACAATTTAAGATGAAAGATCTTGGAAGACTAAATTATTTTCTTGGTCTTGAGGTACATTATGGGGAGAGTGGTATTTCTCTTTTAGAGGTCAAGTATGCCTCTGATATGATATCTAGGGCCTTGCTCACTGATGAACCTGTTGAAAACACTCCCATTGAGCCTAATGCTCATTTTGTTTCTACTGATGGGACTTTGTTGGAGAACCCAATATGTTACCAGCAATTGGTTAGAGGACTCATCTATCTTACTTTGACTCGTCTAGACATTGCCTATGCAGTTCACGTTGTTAGTTAGTTCATGTCTAAGCCTCGAACCACTCATTATGCAACCGTTCTCTAGATTCTTAGATATGTTAAGGGAACCTTGTATCATGGCCTTCGTTTTTCTGCTAGGTCTTCTCTCATTTTACAGGCCTACTCTAACTCTGATTGGGGAGGTGACCGTGCTAATCATCAATCTACTACTGGGTTTTGTATATTTCTTGTAGACTCTCTTGTCTCTTGGAGAAGTAAGAAACAAACTCTAGCCGCTTGATTTAGTGCTGAGTCAGAATACTGCGCATTAGTAGATACTACTACTGAGGTTCTTTGCCTCTGTTGGCCACTTGATGATTTGGGAGCTTCCTAGACATCCTCTACTAATGTATGTGATAGTCAAGTAGCTATTAAGATTGCTCACAAGGATGTGTTCCATGAGTGAACAAAACATATTGAGATTAACTGTCATTTCACTCGGCAACATATTATTCGAGGCACCATTAGACTTGTTCCCATTCACACAAACCACCAACCGGCTGATTTGTTTACCAAATCTTTTAATTTTGGTCGCTTCTAGTTTTTAGTGGACAAACTCAAGCTGCTTTCTCTGAAGCCATCTTGAGTTTGAGGGAGAATGTTAAGATATTTTGTTGATATCTTGTTAATATTTTGTTTATATAATTTGATTTATTTGATTTGTATTCATCTTGATTTATTTGATTTGTATTCATCTTTTGATTTATTATTAGGATTTATTATTCCTTTTTCTTGTATATATAGATATATTAATCTCATTCCATAATATAAAAATAATATTCATCTCCAATATTTTCTCTCTTTCTCTATTCTAACAAATATGATATCACAATATCTTAGATTTTATTGTAGAAAATTTGAGAGAAATTGAAGGGGGGAAAAAAAGCTGAAAAATGACGAGCAGCAATGGGAGATTGAGGGTCTTCCATTATCTTCTTATATATATAAAAAACCACACACCACTGAGAGGAGGCGGCCATATACCACACCCCTACAATCATTCACCATCCGAACATCAGACCATATCCACACGAAACCACTCATTACACAACTCATCTTCACACCCAACCACCACTACAAAAAAAACAAGCTATTAGCGACGGAAATTCTGTCGCTAAATCGATTTGAGACGGAATTCTGTCGGTAAAGTGTTAGCGACGGAATTCCGTCGGTAAATGTTCTGTCACAAATAGCCTTGTCACTAATTGGTTTAGCGATGGACTTTTTGTTCCGTCGCTAATTTTGTGACGGATTTGTGACGGAATTTTGTCACAAAATTAGCAACGGAAAATTCCGTCGCTAAACGCTAGTATTAGCGGCGGAATATTCCGTCACAAATTCCGTGGCAAATGAAGGAGAATTAGCGACAGAAAATTCCGTCACTAAATGCCAAAATTAGTGACGGAATATTCTGTCACAAATTTCATGGCAAATGAAAGAGAATTAGTGACGGAATTATTAGTGACGAAATATTCCGTGGCAAATAACATAAAATTAGCGACGGAATTTCTGTCGCTAATTTTCCTTTCTTTGCCACGAAATTGGCGACGGAATATTCCGTCGCTAATTCTGGATTTAGCGACGGAATTTTCCGTCGCTAACTGGCTATATTTTGCGACGGAATTTTTTGTTGCTAACTCACACACATTTGCAACAGAATTTGCGACGGAAATTCCTTACAAATCAGTCCCAAATTTTTTTTCTTCAATTTTTTATGCTTATTTTTTGATTTGCAACAAAATTTTGTCAGTTATTTTTTAAAATATGTTTTTTTTATAAATTGTTTAGAAAGAAATAAATTTCATGATAATGAGTAAAGTTTTTAAATTGCAAATAGTTCAATTTTTTTTATAAGAAACAATTTGGAATTTAAAAATAATCCCATACAACAAAATGTCATAAATTTAAGAACATTAAGGTTAAAACCACAGAAATGAAGCTTAATTAAGGAATGAAAACACAACTAACTGTTTTTTCATGCATCTCCTTCGTTAGAGGACCCCAGATATTTTATTCTCAAGTTCTTTCAACCAAGATAATATTGTTTGTTTCAGATCTTGATTCTCTTGACGAATCTCCTGAGTCTCTTGGCAAATCTCTTCATTCTCTTGCCTAAGTTGTAGCATCCTCGTGTTCAATTCAGACTCAAAATCTGGATGGAGCCCTGTGTTGTTGATGGAAGAAGAAGTTACATAAGAGGAAGAACTAATATCTTCAGCCTCAGATCCAAACCCATACATGCGGCCCTTCTTGTTCTTACCCCCTACAACCTCATACCATATGTTAATATCTTCTTGATCATTTGATTGTTGCACACTTGGAGAACTTGAATCAGAATTCATGGTGGATGCCTTGCGCCTCATGTAGTCATGCTGTAAAAGCAAGATTCCATTTAACAAAGTTTGAATGATGCATTATAAATCAGAATATATATTCGAAAAGAATGTAAAGAAGAAAAGAGTAACGAAAAGCCCCTACAAAAACATATACCCACATATTATTGGAACATAACAATCAAGTCACTCTAAATTTTAACCTATAAAAATAACAAATGACCAATTGTTTTGAAATGTAAAAAGTCAATGATACCAATAAAAGGAATAAAATTCCGAAAATATTTTCTATAAAAATTAAAAGTGTCAAGACAGAGGAAATTTCTGAGAAAATGCTAAAAAAGAAGCAGCCATGAGACTTTGGGGGAGAATAGATTGCAAAGTCTCTAGTGTATAGAGGAGTCAATGTAGTACATGGCAATGAATGAGACCCACATCAATTAAAAAGAAAAGAATGCGTATCAGTATCCCACCATGAGGTTAACTCAAAGACTTAGGCCACGGCTTCACTGTTTTGCTTTTTGAGAAAGAGAGATAGAAAAGAATGGGGTGTAGGGTCTGAAAGAGACAAACGAAGTGTGTGGGTCCCCCAACTTGGAAAGCCATGCACATATTGTTGCTTTACTACTCTCTTTGGTTTTCTAAAATATCACTCATTTTAATTATTTACATTGAAAAAAATTACAAGCATATAAATCATACAATAATCTTATTTAAGATTGTTGAATGCTATTGCAAAAATACTTTTTTTAAGGAGAAGCAAGAACAAAACACTACAAAAATACTCTAAAAATTGTACAAAACAAACCTTCCTTATGTTTTCAAGATTTTATTCTCATATACCAAAATACTAATTGATTGTTAAATTACAAATTTTAGGCCAAAATATTTCTCTCTCTAATCAAAATGCTATTTAAAATTAATTCAAAAATGTAATTTCATAGCATATGTTTTCAAACTTGTTTTATTCATATATTAGATTCGAATAGTAAACGCTTCAAGAGCCAAGTTACAATTAGTCAAAGTTTCAATCAAATTAATATTTAATGGATTTAGTTAAAGTTTAGTCAATAATCAAGTTAAATTTATAGACCAAAATGATTAATTTTTCCTTTAAAAAAAACCTCCTGTTTTGGTAAAATTAGAAGAAAAACCCATCTATCTTACCCAAAAATATAGATTAGAGGGCATCTTTGGACATAATATGTAAAACTAGGGAAGCCACACCTTAGGTAGCTTGCCTTCAAAAAGACCTCTAGCCATCAACACAATTTCAATAATCCAATATGACAAGCACATTTGATGACGACTCACAGTAGAACTAATCAAGCCTCAAGCCATCAGCACAATTTCAATAATGCAATCATAGTAAATAAAGACTCACACTACAATTAGTCAAGCCTCCGGCCATCAGCATAATCACAATGATCCAATATGATAAATGCATAAGAAAAATATACTTACATAAACTGAAGCCGACCTCTGGTCCACAAATTCATTAGTTTTCTTATTATAATGTGTCTTCTTAAACAGTTCAAAATTTGTAGGATTTCTTCCCAACTCTAAAGTCTGCAGTTATTTATAAAGATGTATTACATAATGCAACAAATAAACCATAATTGTATTTAAAGATAAATTCTTACCAGCCTCCTCTTATGCTCACTATTAGGAATACTACCCCCTTTGTGTTGAGTTCCTCCTACAGAAGAAGCTTGATTGACTTTAGCTATCTCACACTTGGCCTTGTAATCTTCTGATAACCAAATTTTTTCTAACTCGGCCATTACTTCTTCTGGAATCCAATCAGGCCTCACATTTTTTTTTGAAATAGATCATGCCTGATATTATGCATTGTATTTCTCAAGATTTCTGCACATTTTGCATTCCAATTTCTCCTAATATTTTGTTCATGTTGTGGCAGCCACTTATATTTTTTCTGCATAAATGAGAACCAAAGGAAATCAAAACTAAAGCATAATGTGAAAAAAGTCCAGACACAATTTTCCTTAATAATAGAGATAAGATATACCGCCCATTCAGCAAACCACATTTGTTTATACTCAGGGGGAGTCACTTTCCAACTGCAACATGGATGGTCAAATTTTCCTTGAATTACGAGAAGAATATTTCGCATGGTTGCAATAGCAAGATTAAACCTAATAATCATTTTAAATAAATGATTAAAAATGCAAAATAAAATTAAGCTAATAAATGAAGATATTAAATAATGTAAACTTGATGACTTACGTTTTCTTGTCAGGATATATCCATGTTTTACCATCTGAGGGATCACGACCCCATGGTGACAAACTATATGGAATACCCCGTGGAGTGGCGGGTTGCGAGTTTTCTGTTCCAGGTGATAGGATTTGAGGAGATGTAGGTGATAACGAGGGTCTGCTAACTGATTCAGCCATAATTGGAGATGATGCATTTGATAATGATGGTATAGGAATGTTTAGAGGTCTAATCGGTGTTTCAGACACAGCAGGAGTAGATGTAGTAGCTACATTAGGAAGCGAAAGAGTTTGAAATTGCTGAGGTAATTGTGTAGGTGATGGAGTACTCCATTGCCCTCTACCACGCTTTAGTTGACGACTTGCCATCTGCATATTTAAAATTAAATAAATGAATAAAAACTAAATCAATAAGAACTAAATCTTCTTTAGAAATTAACAGAATTATAATCTAATCTAAATGAAAAATAAATAAGAAATTAATGCAATCAATCAAACTGAAAACTAAATAACAAATGCAATGTCAACCATAATTTATAGATCATCTTCATCTTCATCCATATAAGAATCTTCCTCACCATCTTCTGTTTCTTCATCATCTTGAAGTTCCTCTTCTTCTTCTTGATCATCATCATCATCATCATCATCATCTTCTTCTTCTTCTTCATCATCATCATAAACCATGTTATCAATCGACATGTCTACTTCTTCATAGCGAATTTCAAAGTCTCTTTCATTATTTAATTCATCATCATGAACAATTATTGGTAGTATGACTTCTAATCCATCTGCTTGAAATGCTTCTACGTTTGTTTCAGATGCAGGAGTGTCAATTATGCCACGGGCCTTGATGTTAACAACAGCTAACCAATTTGACTTTTTACGACAACAAGGATAAGGCGTGTAGTACACCTGCATTGCTTGTTGAGCAAAAATGAATAGGTCATACTCGTTATACCTTTGTAATTCATGAACTTCAACAATCCCATATTGTTCATGCACCCTCGTACCATAATTTGGTGTTGGATCAAACCACTCACATTTAAATAATACTAGTCTTTTCACAGGAAGACCCATATATTCAATCTCCATAATTTCTTGTAGAATACCATAAAAGTCCTATTCTGATTGTGCATAATCAGCTCCTTTAACGCACACACCACTATTTGTGGTTGACTTTCGAAGGGCCCAGGAAGCAGTATGAAACTTATACCCATTGACAAAGTACATAGGCCATGTCCTGACTCTTCTTTTTGGACCCCAAGCAATGTCGTGCAAAAATGGATCCACAATATTGTTGGTAGGGTTTTGAACCTACATGACATTATTAATGAATATCATGATAAATAAGGCTTGTTTTAGGTATCATATAAAACAAATATTACTTACATGATCTTTAAACCATGATGAAAATTGTTGATTGATTTGAGATTCTATCTCATTGTCTGTAATCTGAGGCTTCTCTTCCTTTAATATTTGTACAAAAACACTGCATAGAAAATAATGCATTAACCATGCATATAATTGGCATCAAGTTTAATCTATCAAATTTTGGTATTACTTACTTCATATAAGGTTGCACCTCATCACAATTCATGAGAACATATGTTGTGGCAACTTTTGCTTCGTCGTCCTCCAACCAACGACCTTTACATTCCCCATATGGTCTTCCTAGGTAATTAAATATAGAAATTGCTTGCAAATCTAATTATCCACCATCGTTATTTCTTATAGGTCTTGGTATTCTTGGAGGAACACCTGGCCTAAAGTAGTGTGAGCAAAATATTGTGGTCTCCTCAATTATGTAAGCTTCACAGATAGATGCTTCAACCCGAGCTTTGTTTTTGACCTTTTGTTTCAAGGTATAGAGGAATCTACATAAAAAGAAATGAAACCCAAGAGTTATTATTATACTAATCATATATTTACTCTCAATTTAAATAGATAGATTTCATTACCTTTCAAATGGATACATCCATCGATAGTGGACAAGTCCTCCAACCTTAGCTTCATAAGGAAGATAGACAAGCAAATGCTCCATTCAGTCAAAAAACCCTGGGGGAAAGACCTTCTCCAACTTGCACAATGTCACAACAATATTTTTTTCTAACAACTCTAGTTGATCTATCATCAATGTAGTAGAGCAAAGTTGTCTAAAGAATTGACTAAGCTCTATTATAGGATTCAAGACAACTTCAGGCAAAGTAGCAAAAGCAATGGGAAGCAAGCATTCCATAAAAACATGACAATCATGACTCTTCATTCCATACAATCTTGCTTCTTTCATGTCAACACATCGGGCTAGATTAGATGCATATCCATCTGGGAGCTTCAAGTTCTTGACCTACTAGCAAATTGCTCGTTTTTGTTCTAAATGTAAAGTATATTTTGCACTTGGTTTCACCATTTTCCCTCTTCTCTCAACAAGTTCATCATCCTGCCGTCGACAATATTCTTTCAAGTCTATTCGAGCTTGTGTATTATCTTTTGTTTTTCCCTTTGTGTCCATGACAGTGTGAAACAAATTCTCAAAAACATTTTTCTCAATGTGTATAACATCTAGATTATGTCGAATGAGATTATTTTTCCAATATGGCAATTCCCAAAATATGCTTTGTTTTGTCCAATGATGACTGCTTTTATAGCATTCAATTGGTATGGTTTTTCCATACTCAGTCACCTTTGGAAAATTTTGTATTCTTTGCCAAACTTCTTCTCTGCTTAATCGAGGTGGAGGCATTGACTTCTCAACTCTATTCTTGTAAAATGAGATCTTATCTCTCCTGAATTGATGATCATCAGGAAGGAATTGACGATGACAGTCAAAGAAAGATGGTTTTCTACCATGCTTTAATTGGAATGCTTTTGAATTCTTCATGCATATAGGACATGATAATCTCCCCATTGTCATCCAACCAGACAACATACCATAGGTAGGGAAGTCATTGATTGTCCATAACAGTGCAGCTCGCATACAAAAGTTTTTTCTCCATGAGGCATCATATGTTGACACCCCTTCATCCCATAATAATTTCAATTCATCTAGCAATGGTTGTAAGTACACCTATTTTTCCTTTAGGGTTATGAGGACCAAGGATGATCAAAGTCAAGAACATATATTTTCGTGTCATACACATCTCAGGTGGTAGATTATATGGGGTCATTATCACAGGCCAACAAGAATATTGTCTCCCAGATTGCCCAAATGGTGTAAACCCATCAGCACATAACCCAAGCCTCACATTTCTTGGATCATATGCAAAGTTTGGATATGTACTATCCAAAACCTTCCATGCTTGGCTATCAGATGGGTGACAAAGTACATTTGAACTGCGACGATTCTCAGTGCCATCTCATTTCCTTTGCTGTTTTTTGAGAAGTAAACAATCTTTGCAATCTTGGAATAAGAGGTAAGAACCACAATTGCTTCCTTGGAACTTTCTTTCTTCTTCCATGACACTTTTTGGAGGAATATCTTTCCTCACAACAAAACTTACATTGGGTTGCACTATTATAATCTTTATAGTATAACATGCACCCATTCACACAACAATCAATTTTCTTATACTCAAGACCTAACTTTGACGCTAACTTTTTTGTTTGGTACAAATATGTAGGCATAGGAGTGTCTTTAGGTTGTGTCCTCCTCATGAGTTGGGAAACTAAATTGTAGCCTTGATGTGATATGTTAGTCATTGCCTTAATACTTAATAACTGCAACGTTGCTAAAAGTTGAGATTCATCTTCACAACCTTCCCATAAAGGTTGTTGTGCAGCACGTAGCATGTCATAAAATGCTTGTGCATCAGGATTTGTCATCTCTTCAACACCTTTATTATAGTTATCCCTAAAACTCGGCCCAGCTGCATCCATCACCATGGTCTCATATTGACTTAATTGGTCACTAAGTGGTCCACCTAGTATTGGAGACATGGGTGAATGATATTCTATACTTCTCTCACCATGACTAGTCCATATATAATAGTCTGGCATGAATCCATATTTATAAATATGTGTCTTCACCTCATCGAGAATGAGATATCGCCTACATCTACATTTCACACATGGACACCTAAGCTTCCCTGATTTTTGGCAATAAGGTGATTGCATTACATAAGTAAGAAACTCCTCTACACTTTGCTCAAATTCTATTGTAACCCATTTAGTACACGAATCTATTCTATTGTACAACCATCTCCGATTTTCTGGGCCTTCCATTCTAAGAAAGAGGTGTGCAATAATAATATGTAAGAATTGGAGAAGACAAGTAATATATATGGCAAAAAAGTACACACACACACTGACACATATATGAATAAGCAAAGTTAAATGTCAACATTTGTATATGAAGAAACTAAAAAGTTTTATTTAAGGACAACTCCTACCAAAGACAAGACTTGCTAAACAATCATTAACAGATAACTTTGAAGTACAAAAAAAAACTAAAAAAGATTTTGAAAAATGTAAGAGATAGGAATGTATTGAGACTACCTACCAACAACAATCAAACAACATATATCAAGCTAGATTAAAAAAAAACAAAACATTATACGTCAACCCAACTAAAAGTTAAATGGTCACCTTACTTGAATAGTTCTACAACTTGTGTTTGGGTTGCCACTAGACCTCTAGCTAACTCTATCAAAGGAGCTGCTGTATCTCAAATTATTATAATCCAACCCTACACACACAATCAGGTCAACAAATTAAAACCAGAAAAAAAAAAGCATTCACCAAGCAACCAAGCATTTCAATAATTGGTAACTCTATACATAGACAATATATACGCACATCATAAGTCCCCATCTCATGTAATGATAGATTTTACATGTATTTTATTGAATATGCTGACTAGCTGTTTGATAGAAAAATATTCTGGTAGTGATAAAAGTTCTCTTGTAACTACAGATACATATCGTCAGCTTGCCCAATTATGGCATTGCAAAAGTGATGTAAATCTGTATAATAGTTATGGAATGCTCAATCAGTAGAAAACTGTTTTGCTGTTTCAGGTAATAATGCTCATAATGTTTGAGGCTGAAATTATAGGCATTTTGGATCAGATGTTTGCAATCTTTTTAAGTTGTAATCTGCTGAGGGATTAACATTTCAGCTCTTGTTTATTTCCTTTGGAATGATCAATGCATATAGTTGGGGTTAGGGTTGTAGTAATAACTCAAAATCAGATTCTAATTTGATAGGATCTTTGACCATCCTAATGAAATGACATCCTAACAATATAAAATTAATAATACAATCAGGAAAAAATTAGAAAGCATTAAAGCTAATAAACCATAATAAATTAAAGAGCTAAAGTTTTAGTGTTGAAACTGTATGCATATTGAAAGAATTTTGTAAAAGTATAAGTTTAGTGTTGGAATTCAATTGATACATGTTAGTATCGATATACTGGTTCCCATGAGGTTCTCAATGAAGATTCCCCTGCTACAAGTATTTTTAATTTCTTTTAAATCATGATGAGTCTGATACATCATCTGCTTGCTAGATTAATAGTATTCCAGTATGTTTTGTCCATATCCAGGCAATACTCTTCATTTATATGTTACACTGACAGGCTCATCATAAGTTACCAAATGCCTTGAAGCATTGCAACTATCAGAGTGAAATCTATATCAGCTTTACATGAGGGGGAATTTTTTAGTTAGGTAATTGAATCTATAATGCAAATAAACAATAAACAAACTAGGATGCTTTACACATGATTAACTTGCAACATTCTCATTTCATGAGTTTTACGTCAAGAGCAACCAAATGCTTGTGCCATCACCATTACACAACACTCATCCACCCACTATGATGAACGTAATATGGAAGCAACAACACAATCAGATGTTTGTACTTTGATAGCTCGAAGAATGAGCTTTCTTAGATAGAAGCCAATTCCAATAATACAACAATAAATATAAAACGAATAACCAAAAAAAGCAAATGAAAGCAAAAAGGCCCAATTTACAGAAGTTACGAATAAGGGTTGGGAATTACAGATGTTTGTATACAACAATAAATATAAAACAAATATAAAATTCCAATAAAAAAGCATATATATCAAAGACCAGTATACATTAAAGCTTGCCTAAATGTGTACCTCATTTTCCATCTCCCAGAATGAATTACAGAGAATCCAATCAACCAAATCAAATGAAGTGCTAATCCTCTGCAGTACTAAAAGGCAGTCACTTAGTACCAGTAGAAATATTTTCAACAAAACTAGAAGGGAGATCTGAACCTTGAAATAAAAAGTAACCCACAAATAGAGTGAAATCTAAAAGGGAATCTGAACTAGAAGATGAAAACAAGAAATACAATGCCAAGAAGCTACCCAGTGATGAATCTGAACGCTGACGATGAAAATAGAGGAGGCTGACAGAACGGAAGAGAATCTAAACTTTGAAGAGGAGACTGAAGAATGTGAATGGACACAACAACGCGAATAGAATGCTGACACTTTGAGTCTCAAAACCTGCACATTCAGGCGCGATTTGATCTGAGGAGGAGAAATGGAAGAAGAGTAGGAGTGGAGGACTGGAGGCACCTTTGCTGGACTAGTAGATGATGGTGAAGGGGTTTCATCAGAGAAATAAACCCTTAGGCATTGAGGAAACCCTTAGAAGTGGTCTGGCTCCTCCTCTTGCGATTCTTGTAATTTTTTAAAAGAAGGAAATTAGAAAAAAAATCCTAAAGAGAGCAAATTTGTGATATTTGTGGAGGGAAAATGAATTTTGCCTTTGTAAACGGAGGGAACATGCGAATATTTTGGAGGGGCAAGATTTTTCACACACATATAGATATAAAATCTAATTAAATGTATAATACCTCTCTCTCACATATATTATCTCACTTTTAATTATATCACATCTCTCTCTCACACACTTTATCTTTCAGTACCTTCCCTTTCAACTTTTCCTCCCTTTTTTTTACCAGCAATTTTTGCCATCTAAGCATGTAATTAGAGAAAATTAATGCATACCTCAAAACCTAAATAGTAATAATAATATAGAAATACTGTCCAATAATGTTAAACTAATATCATACATATATATAGTGATATAAATATAAGATATATCAAGAAATAAGCATTAAAAAGAATATAATAATGTTAAAATAAAAAACATAAATATAAGACACTTCAATAATAAAGATTTAAACCGCAGTTTATTCGAAATATTTTTATCAAATTTAATTAATACAAATATATTTGAAATCTTTGACAATAAAATATAGATATATTTAAATATGAAATTTACAAATTAAATTTAATCCACAGGATTATAATGATAGGGGCAGAATCTCTAACTTATATGTTACTAGGATGAAAAAAATTTTTTTTTAGTAAAGTTGTCAAGCTTTTTATAATATTTTAATCAAATATTTTTAGATCTAATAAGATTTTTCTTATTATAGTCTTAGATCTACTCTATAATCTCTAATTTTCTTTTCTAATTATCATTTCTTAATTTTAGGATGACTAAAAAGAAATTCAAAATATTTATAATTATTGTTTTAGAAATTCAAGAAATTGATTCTCTTTTTATACTTTACCATCCCCTTATTTATCTTAGATATTCTTATATATAATTTCATTATCACATGAGCATTTACTATTACTCCAAGTCGCAAACGAGAATTAGGATATACACACACTATAGATTATATTAATAACATGGGCCATCAGTTGAGTAATTCAGTCAAATAATGAAGCTAACCCAACATACTCGCTTTTGGATCTAAACTAACCTTGCCAAAACTTCTTTTGAACTACCAGCACGTGCTGGCGCAACTGGTAAGGGAGTTGTGTCCCTTAACCATCGACTCTGGGGTTCGATTCCTGGAGGGATAGGAATGGAGCAAGCATGCTTGAGAGGATCGCCCCTATCTTGGGCCCGATAGTACCCGAGAGATTAGTCATTGGGCTCGCTCCGATGGATACCGTGGTGAAAACAAAAAAAAAACTTCTTTTGAACTTTCTTTTTTCCAAACAAATCAAGTATATGCAAATTGAGCTAAATTGACCTCGTTATTAGGTTTCCAGCTTAACTCTATAGTTTATGGCGCCCTTATTATTCATTCAATGAAAATAAGTCAATAAATAATATTTCAATATGTTGTTAAATAAGTTATCAATTAGGTAAAAGTTCAACATGTCTTTACGCTTTCCACATATCTCATCATATCTAAAGAAACTTTTCACATATCTTATCATATCTAAAGACACTTATTTGACACTAATGTTGAAAGAAAGAGCAGCAATCTGACAAAAAAATTAATCATATTGTAACAAGAAAATAAAATCATATTACGAATTATATTCAGATTTTTAATTTAAGTTCACAAGCTCAAAAAAAATATAATCAATTTCAAAAAAGTGTCTAATAAGGATATCAATTTTCTTCTATTTCCCAACAGAAAATATGTATAAATAATTAAACTATTATATTTTATATATATAGATATATAAATTGTTAAAATACATGTCTAAATAATTACACTATTATATTATATAAATATAAATTTTTCAAATTTTATAATCATAATGTAGAATTTTGTGAATTTCATGTTAGCGATGGATTTTGTGACAGAATTTTACGACGGAAACAAATTATGTCAGAAAATCTGTCACATAATAGGAGTAGGAATTAGCAACGGAATTAGCGATGGAATTTAGAGACGGAATTAGCGACGGAAATATTCCGTCGCAAAATTCTGTCGCTAAGCCTATTTACTGACGGAATTAGCGACGGAATTTAGAGACGGAATTAGAGACAAAATTAGCGATGGAATTTTGTGACGGAAATATTCTGTCACAAAATTCCGTGGCTAAGTCTATTTACTGACAGAATTTGCGACGGAACTATTCCATCTCTAAAGTCCGTCGAAAATCCGTCAGAAAAATTACCGACAGAATTTCCATCAAAATTCCGTCAGAAATTAGCGACGGAATTTTTTTCCGTCGCTAATAGACTGTTTTTTTGTAGTACACCATCTATCATTACCATCCATCACCTTCATCATCCACGCCAACTTCCTCTTCGTCCATCCACGGCTGCCGTAAGCGTGAAAACTGTGTTAGCAGTCTTCAAATTCACGCGTGGCTAATTTTATCAAGCTTCCTAAATATGGAGGATTGGATTTGAGCTTCAAAATTAATTAGGGGAGTTTTTCTGTTTCAGCTCATTTAATTTAATTAAGTAATAGATTTTTTGAGTTGGAATTGACATTATTTGATTAAATTTTCTGAAATTACCAGTTGTAATTCTTAGTTTGGAATTGAATTTTTGTGATAGGGATTGGATTTTGCAGTTTAAGATTTATATATATAATTTTTTTTTGAGAAATCAGATCATTCCTATAAAAAAACACTGGCAGTTACAGCAAGGGAGAATTAGACCAAAGAACCTGTAGAGAAAAATATTTAATAAGAAAGACCATAAAAATTAGAATTATTTAAAAGGACCAAGTGTTCAAACATAGATTTTAAAATACCAAATTACCTTTTTCACTTTATTTGTTGCCTCTGTGATTCTCTTGATTTTGTTTACACTTAATAATAAAAAAAGAAGTAAAATACATTAATATCCTTTCTACTTAGATTATAGAGATCTCCTTTTTATTTTGAAAATATTTATAAACATTTTTAAAATTAAAATATATATTACATAAGCCTTTTTTCTAGTTTTGAGATTCAACTTTTATCTGTAAGAGAGACTTAGAGAGAAGGACCAATAGGAAGTGATATTCAAGGGAGAGGACCTTAAAAATTAAAATTATTTAAAAGGACCAAATATTCAAATATAAATTTAAAAATACTACATTATTCCTATTCAAACTACTTACATTTTGTCCTATATTTTCTCATATATTTTATTTTAAAAACTAATGTGAATTAATAAATTTCACTAAATTAAACATGATTTCTCTCAAAATTTACAACTTACATAAAAATCAATTTAAAAAAACTCAAATATTGTTCAATCATGTAAAAGTTAAAGTTTTATTTTCTTTATCAAAAGTTAAAATTTTCTTTATAAAACCATCACAGACTTTAATTAAAAATAAAAGTTATATAATTTTATTAAAATTTAGATTATTATATAAATAATTTTAAAAATTCAAAGAAAATGATTTCATTAAATTTCTTAACATTACATGAATTTTTATTTTAAAATCTAATATAAATTTCTTATAAAATAAAAATAATAAGTAATAAAAATTTTCTTTGAATTTTTTAAAACCATGTATATAATAAATTGTATAATAATCTAAATTTTAAAGAAATTATATAATTTTTTCAGTTTTAGAAGAAAATTTTAATCTTTATAAGGAAAATAAAAATTTAATTTTTACATAAATAAACAACGATTGCATTTTTTTTCCAATTGTTTTAACGCAGTTTGAAAAATTTGAGAGAAATCAAGTTTAATTTAATGAAATTTGTTGATTCGCATTAGTTTAAAAATAAAATGTAGGAGAGAATAGAGGAGAAAATGTAGGATGTTTGTATAGGGACAATATGATATTTTTAAATTTATGTTTGAATATTTGGTCCTTTTAAATAATTTTAATTTTTAGTCCTTCTCTCTAATTCTCCTTGTCTATAACCATTAAGTCATAGTGTTAACTTATTATTTGGAATAAAATAGCCCTCCTTAACACAAATATTATTTAATAATTATCATTTAATTACATATAACATATCTTTATTCAAAATTAAAAATACATATTCTAATCTTTTTTGCTATGCTATTAAATCAATTGCCATATTATAAATTTAGTTAGTTTTATAAATATAAAATTTTATTTTTTTAGTAATTTAAATGTTTAATTTTATTTATTTATTAAAACTTGCTTGTGAAAATCTTTTAACTCTATGTGTTGGCTGAAAATACTGTCTGATCCTTCAAGTCACCACTGCCTCATGGCCAAGAAAGGAAGCATTATTAATGGAAAAAATTGGGAAGACATTAACTACACTTAATCAGCCTAACATGGGAGAAGACACTTCATGTCTTTCTCTTAGACCTTTCCCTCCAAGCTCACCGTCAGCCAACAACACAACACTTGAAGAATTCCAGAGAGACTTTATCATGAGTGCTGTTAGACTTCGACCAAACAGGTCACAAGTCCCTCCACAGACAGAA